AATGAGAGAGAGAGAGAGAGAGAGAGAGAGAGAGAGAGAGAGAGAGAGAGAGAGAGAGAGAGAGAAGTAATGTTATAGTTATCGATATTCGACTTTTACTTGACGCCCACATCGACAAAATTTAAATCATTCAGGAGGCAGGCTGCTTCCACGCTGCCTGCTAGAACTCTAAACTCATTTACAACTTACTGCATTTCTTGTATATCTGCAGACTCGGAGACGACAACGGTGACTCGGAGGTGGTTGATTACTACAGCATGAACTTCGACAACTTTAATATCAGCAGCGAGCACTGGTTTAACATCAGCTGTGGGATTGCTGAGGTAAAGAGCTGACTTCACATTTCATTCTCATATTTTTACATTTCTAAATGTGTCGCAGGGTGATGGAATCAGACGACTGTCAAGTCGGTTTTTTTGTAAGGGGGGGGGATAGCGTTATAGCCATCAAACCATATCTTATTTATTTTCCATGAACGTGATGACAAAAATACTGATGCATCTTTGATAGAATTCGAAGATGCTACGTGCGATTTAGAAAGGCAGGTAAACGTTGCGAGAAAATTGCCATCAAATCTGGTGACTGTTTAACCTGAATGTCATGTATCGTTCAACAATATATACCATATTTGTTGTTGTGGAACAAAATGTATTGATGAAATTCACTCAAGGTGTGTCTTATGTGACTTTGGAGACAGTCTCTGTTAAAAAAAAAAACTTGGTAAAAATGGCTGCACAGTCCGAAAAGTACAGATTTCCCCGTCCCATAAAATTTGACGAGCGCCTGATTCCACCACGTTGATCCACAAAATAGTAACATTATACGCCTCCGTAGACTCAGATAAGTTTGTGATTTTTGGAGTTGGACAGCACTGACCTTGCCTGCCAGCCACAACTCGGGCTGGATGGTATCCCATAGACAGACGGAGATACTCGATTCACAAAATGAAATAAAGTAAAATGAGAAAAAAAACTTCCTCCACCCGGGAATCGAACTCACGTCTTCTGAATGACACAGCGAAGAGCCTATCCTTACACAATGAATGCCGGTCTTAATGTTCATTTATTTTCGTTTGAAAACGGTGAAATTGTGTAGGTTTAACGCCCCTTTCAACACTAATAGCTATTTTTATTTCCCACTGAGGTTGCTAATATGGCCCCAAAAATCAGGCTGTTACGAAAGGCTTCAATTGACCCAAAAGGGTTGAGTTGGAATAAAAAGAGAACTGTGCCCATTTAATGCAGGGAAAGAGCAGACACAAGCAAAAGAGGAAAAATAAGAAAAAGAACCAACCAGTCACTCGAAAAGAGCATAATTGTTAACCAGTGTGAAAGCCTTCTACAGTTGATTACCTAAAAGCAACTCAGAATATTCTTTAAAAAAATTAAATGTATCTGTTGTTACGCCCCCATCGAAACAATTTAGAGCATTCAAGAAGCGGGCTTGTGACCCTACCTGTCAGGCCCAGCCAGGGTTGAGAGAGATACAAAATCCCAGTAGAAAGACAGAGATGCTCGATAAAAATTCTCCCCACCCGAGGATCGAACTCAGGCCTTCTAAGTGCGACAACGAAGCACCTAACCATCACACAACAGGCGCTGATGGAATATTCTTTCTCATACCAGAAAATAAAATTCACTTAGCAAAAAACAAAACAAAAAAACCCAACAACTGATAACCGTGGTCATATCTATTTACTCGTCATTTCTATGGTTCGCAATAAAATAAGTGGTTATTTTGCGGGGTGCTGTGTGGATGAACCTTATTCCAATTCTCAAAAAATATTCTTCAGATTGAGTTCTTAGTGAAGTTCTTATGGCTTGTACAGAGATGTGCTTCGATCCTGTCTGTTTGAGCCAGCCTGGGTTGGAAGAGATACATTATTCCCCCAGATAGACCAAGGTACTCGATAAAAATTCTACCTACATAGGAATCGAACCCAGCGCCTAACCGCGACACCACAGACGCCGGTGCTCGCTTCCTAAATTACCTTTACTGTGCCGACGAGAACTTTAAACATTTACGATTATTACAATAAAAAACCCAGCTTGTTTACCGTATATGTCTATTCTATCTCTACTGTCCCTTCAGCGACCCTACGACTTCCTCAAGTCAGTGGTGGAGCCGACGATATGCTGTGGCGGTATTGTTGGCATCCTGCTCACGATGGTGGTGCTTAGCCGCAAGACCATGTGTACGTCCACCAACTGCTACCTGACGGCACTGGCAGTGGCCGACCTGCTGTTCTTACTCCTGCTCTCCGCGCGTATCATCGTGGAGAGGGTGGCTGGCTGCGAGTTTCGCCTGAGCAGCGAGAAAACCATCTGGGACGTCTACTCCAGTGAGTTGCTAGGCTATGGACGGAATTCGTTATTTCCTTCTAGTCTTTTGGTGGATCTGTTTTCATTCATTCATTCATTCATTCATTCATTCATTCATACATTCATTCATTCATTTATTTTGCTTTTTTACGTGACGTGTTACGGGAATTGTAATAGAGACTCGTATGGCGCCCCCTCCCTTTCTAAAAAGAAATACACACAAAACACAAACACACACACACAGCAGATACACTCACACACACACACACACACACACACACACACACACACACACACACACACACACAGAAACACACACATACACACACAGACACACACTTTGTGACTGCGTTTCCCAAAAAGAACCATAGAAAAAGGAGAAAAGATATTGGAATTTTATTTTGTTTGATCTTTATCTCTTCTGCCATGTGGAAAGCCCTTGCTCGAATCCTTAACGGGGTATTCTTTAACTTGCCGTCTATTTGAGGTGTCTTCAAGTCCCTCAACCTTCCTGGTTTGACCCTCTAGGAGATGCATATTAAATCGGAGGTACTTTCACATTATTACCGTTACAGCTTAAGGAAAGTTTATGAAATACGGTGTAATAAAAATATTATAATATCCCTGAACACCTTGTTTTCACGAGCAAAATATTGAAGGTAAACGAGGCAGGAGAAGACTGGGCTTAACTTGCTGAAGAAGATGGTTGACGGGGACGATCAGGATATTGTAGCATCCGAGCATAGGAATGAATGGAGAGCCAGGATCGCCTATGTCTTTCGCAAATCTGGCACTTGATAATGATACTGATGATGCTGAATATCCCCGATTTCATTCTTTATTCTTATCTGACTTTGTCCCACCATAACCCTCCTATTCATATTATTGTTGTGGTAACAGAAGCCAGCTTGGAAATGATATACACAAAGCCGCGCTTACTCAGCTTGCTCTATGCACTTTACAACCATCACTACCCCAACAGACCCGAGAAAACTGAGAAACATTCTCGGTTTCCCGGGAAGCACACTGTGCGATCAGTCGATTGGCCTCTTCACAAAGATATAAATACTCTTATTTTAATGTAATGTAAATTATAATTTTTAAAATTGAAATATTTACCGTAACATTTTAAACTATTTAATCTGACCATTGAACAAACCAAGTCATGATGTGAGCTGTTGTGAATGCAACCATCTTGTGTTTTGCGCGCTCCTATGATGACCTTATGCATTTGCGAGCGCCGTAAGACTCTTACTAAACTAACACGAACAAACTGACAAAATCTTCCGCTCATTCCCTTCTATCTTCTCTTCTCCCAGTCGTCCTGATGAACACGTTCCAGTGTCTGACCGTAGGCGTGACCGTCATGCTGGCTGTAGAACGCTACATCGCCATCTGTCATCCGATGCGCGCGATGACCCTGTGCACCGTGAAGCGAGCGCGCATCATCATCGGCATCATCACCGTCGTCGCTTTCATCCTCCGCTCGCCCAAGTTTCTCGATATCGAGATCGGCTACACGAAACTGGTGTCGGGGGAGGAGATTCTCACGGTCAGATGGGTGTATTTGTACAACGAGGCGCTGTACACCTACATCGTGAAGGGTATGTATGTCTAGTGGTTGTTGCTGTCGTCGTAGTCGTTACAATGTATTATTATTATTATTATTATTATTATTATTATTATTATTATTATTATTATTGTTAATATTATCATTATTATTATTATTATTATTATTATTATTATTATTGTTGTTGTTGTTGTTGTTGTTGTTGTTGTTGTTGTTGTTGTTGCTGTTGTTGTTGTTGTTTCAGTTGTTTTTGCTGCTGTTGCTGGTGCTGTTGTCGTTGTTGCTATTGTTGTTGTTGCTGTTGTTGATGATGCTATTTTTGTTGTTGTTGCTGCTGTTGTTGTTGTTGTTGCTACTGCTGCTGTTGCTATTGTCCACGATTTTGGCGGTGATAGTGTTGCAGGGGAGAGGTTGTGTTGTAATGTTGGTAACGGTAGATTTAGATGGGGTCAGGGTGTTACTTTAGTTGTGCGTGTGGTGATGATGGTAGACATAGTGTTGTTTCTATTGTTTTTATTGTTGTTGTTGTTGCTGTTGCTGTTGCTGTTGTCGTTTCTGTCGACCATTTCTTTTGCTGTGACAGTATTGCTGGCAAAGGGTTATGTTGTGGTGGTAATGGTGGGTGCAGTGTTTTTTTCTGTTGTTGTTATTGCTGTTATTATTATTATTATAATTATTATTATTATTATTATTATTATTATTATTATTATTATTATTATTATTATCATTATTATTATTATTATTATTATTATTATTATATTTTATTTGTTATTATTATTATTATTATTATGATTATTATGATTATTATTATTATTATATTTATTAGTAGTGTTATTGTTGTTGTTATTGTTTGTTCTTTTCGTTACCGTTGTCCACATTTGTTGTGGCAATAGCGTTGCTGTCAAGGGGCTGTGTTGTGGCTTTCCTGGCAGTAGATGCAGTCAAGCTGCTGTTTAAGTTCTGTTTGCTGTGGTGATGATAGGTGCAGTGTTTATGTTGTTGTAGTTTGTATGACTGTTAGTGTTCTTGTTTTAGCGTTTGTGGTAGTATTGTTGTTGAGCCTGAGGCTAGAGGTTTTACAAGAGCCTGTTACAGTGATGTTACTGCCAAAGTTGTTCAAAAAGACTGTTTTGTATTTTTCATACTTCTGGAGCAGTCCTATGGTAAAACGTTGGTCGATGTTTATATATTCCTCTTAAAATAAAATGCCCATGTTTCTATGAACCTACTACTTTTCAACGATGATAATGTTAATGATGATCTATCTACTACTACTACTACTACTACTACTACTACTACTACTACTACTACTACTACTAACAACAGCAACAGCAACAGCAACAACAACAGAATAATAATAATAATAATAATAATAATAATAATAATAATAATAATAATAAGTCTAGTTTTCTATCGCCAGGCGCACTGCTCACCGTACTTCCTCTGCTGGCGTTAATGGTTTTGAACATTCGTCTGATCGTCGAGATCCGCCGATCGTCGCGCTACCTGAAATACCACCTGGGCACCGACTGGCGCGTGCGTTCTGTGGTGAGCAGTGAGGAGCTGAAGATCACAATGATGTTAGTGAGCGTGATTGTCACCTTCTTCATTTTTCACGGGCCCTTCATGGTCTACGGGTGAGTGGAGAGTGATTGATGTAATTATGCTGAGTGAGGGAGGGGGCGGAAGGGAGGGATATAGATAGATAAGATAGATAGATAGATAGATAGATAGATAGATAGATAGATAGATAGATAGATAGATAGATATATAGATAGATAGATAGATATATTGACTGATAGATAAGGATAAAGAGAGAGAAAAAGAGAGACAGACAGACAGAGAAAGATAGATAGATATAGTGAGAGGGAGAGAGAGAGAGAGAGAGAGAGAGAGAGAGAGAGAGAGAGAGAGAGAGAGAGAGAGAGAGAGAGAGAGAGAGAGAGAGAGAGAGAACCTTGTAATTCTAGGTAAGGGACGACGAAGCCACCCCCACACTTTCTATTTTCCCCCTTCTCAGCCTGATGATCGCCTCAAACGACTACATCGCTCCCGAGAGCCAGTCGAAGACCAACACGTACTTCAAGCACACCTGCAACATCCTGCTCGCTCTCAAGTCGTCCTGTAACTTCATCCTCTACTGCTGGTTCTCCGAGAAGTTCTGGACCACCTTCAAGAGGATCTTCTGCCTGCACCACTGTCTGCCCAAGGCGGCGTCCACCCAGCCCAACGGCTACAACAACAACAGCAACAACCACAGCCACAACATCCTAAAACCCTCTTGCTACATCACGAAGGAGACCACTTGCTGATGGTTTCGATTCTACGTTGCAGTCCTAAGCTGCTTTTTTCGTTTGCTCATTTTGTTTTTTGTACAGTCTCAAGGTCGTACGTAATCCATATACGTTATGTGATTTCAGAGGGTTTTTTTAAGGGGGGGGGGGGGAGTCATTTTAAAATTATGAAAACGAGCTTCGTCAATATAAGAGATGGAGACATTATTGGTGAAACCACATTCAATAAACGCGAGTGACTTCGTTATGACCCAACAGGCGAGTTTTAAAGTAGCAACTTACAAGACTTTTCCAAAGTTGGTCTGCGCTGATTTTATCCCGGTCCATGCAAACTGTAAGAATGATTTTACAAAGAAAAGCCGAGATTTACTTTAAAAAAAAACAAAAAAACCAACAACCCAGCAGCAAAGAAACAAACAATCAAACAACCCAGCTCCAAAGATTCAATATGTCTAAATGATTGGGACTGAAATCCACAGGGAAAAACGCCAAACGATGTTTTTTTCCAGTTTGTATGCTTACTTTATTTCAAACCATTCTGCAGCTTTGTGGAATAGCTTTTGTTGTTGTTGTTGCTGTTGTTGTTGTTGTTGTTGTTGTTGTTGTTGTTGTTGTTGTTGTTGTTATTGTTTTTATTGTTAATAATGATACCATTCTCAATATTATCATTGCTGTTTTTCTTATTAGATTGTGGAATCAGCATACATTTCGATGTGTGATGGCCATACGATTAAAAACGTCGTTTCATATAAGCGTGTAAATGATGTAAATAAAAATAGTATCTTGTGATCTAGAAGTTGCGACCTTATTATTTTCTCTGGTCAACTGACCAGAAGCCCCGAGTACTCACTATTTCCTCCCTCCCCCCCCCCCCTAGGTTCTATTCTAAACCCTTCATTTTATTTTGCTAATTAGTGATTCCAGTGGGTTAATCGGGGGCTCTCGTGGCCTAGAGGTTAAGGTGTTCGCCTCTCATTCAAAGGTCCCGGTTCTCTAAAATTGTCTCCTTTCACCTTCTTTTCTTCTCTCTTGCAATATTCTGTCGTCTGCTTTCGTCTCCACTTTCTTCCCCCACCCCTCGACTCCTTTGCCCCCTCCACTGGGCTCCTGACTCTTTTTGCAGCCTTTCTACTGCTACTCCTTGGATCCTTCTTACTGCTATCTTTCTGCCACACCCCTGCTGGTCTTCTGGTAGGAAAGATCTTCACCTAGCCTTCTCGGACAAGGGCAAAAAAATGGAGGTCTCGTGTGCAAGTAGCGCACATTAAAGATCCCTTGGTGGTCTAAAATCAATAAGAGTAGGCTTCGGCTGCCACTCGGCCAAAATTCAAATGTTCCTATCAACTGATAATGTTTGGTGTGTCCCGCGCGTTTCTATGACCTTATGCAGTTGCGAGAGCCGTAAAACACTTACCAAAAAAAAAACAACAACAACATAAAAGTAACAATCTTTCTGCGATTTCAGTCTGCAACTTCTCCACCTTTATGTAAGAGAAGTTGTCGGGAAGTGTGGCATCCAATAGATGGATTTGGTTCGGGGGGAGTTCGGGGTGGGGGGGGGGGGGGGGGGGGGTGGGGGTAGCTCCAGTTGTTAGTGAAGCAGGAGACTCTATATCCCAGGGTCTTTGCATTGTGTCTTGTACTGTCGCTACTTTAGAATTACCAAGTTCTATCGGCTCAGTACCTAGTTTTGAGGAATTTGACGTAAAAAACCTTGAGTTTCACAGCATGTTAAGCTTTTGCAAATGCAATTATTTGAATATATTGATAACGACTCCAGTTTCAGTTTAGTATGGGGTTTTACGGCGCTCGCAACTGCATAAAGTCGGTCATACGAGCACGTTGATAACGTCTCCGAATAACCATTCGATTTTGATAGAGCAGGTAGAACATTTTTGGTTCTTACCACATGGTCTAAGTAACTCAAACGGCTAAAAATGTCAGATAGAACTTTGTAATTCTGAGGTAGCTCTACGTTGAAATTTACCTCTGAACTCCCACCCCAAACATTTTGTCTGTTTTCGTTGTCTTACTTAATTAAAGTACCAACTGGCAGTCGCACACAGATGATCTGAATTTGAGTTTCGCGTAGGAAGTATTTTTTTATTTTTATGGAGTGTCTTGGTCTTTCTGTTGGGGTATTGTATTCCTCCCTGCCCGGGTTGTACATGAGAGGTAAAGTCAACGCCCGCCTCCTTTACTATTTAAATTGTGTTGATGGGAACGTAAAATACCTGCATCGTTAAAGAGTTCAAACTCCTGAACCTACTTATTCCATTGATTTTGTTAATACTGCTTGGCAATAATGTCTGATGTGGGGATTTCCCAAGACTAACTCGACAAATGTAATGATGGAATAGAGAGAAAAGACGCGTGTCTTTTTTTAAAAAAAGCCAAGCCTATCAAAAGTAACTGTAATTAAGTTACAGAGCTTATACTCGTATGGAATAGAGCGCTATATAAATGTAATCTATTATTATTATTATTATTATTATTATTATTATTATTATTATTATTATTATTATTATTATTATTATCATTATTATTATTATTCCTACGAAAAAACAATTTACTTCAGTAGTCTACCCTTCTTTATTATTTGGGGGGGGGGGGGGGGTAAGTGATTTATGGTGCTTGCAACCGCATAAGAAGCACGCGGAACGCATAAAGCATTTTAAGTTAAATAGGAATTCATTTTGAATTTCGCCTGGGTGGCGGCCGAAGCCTATTCTTATCGAATTTAAAACCACCAAAGGATCTTTAACGTGAACATCTTGTGCACATGATTTCAGAGATTTGTGCGCCCTTATCCAAGAGGGCCATGTGTTAAATTTTTACCTTCCCAAAGATCAGGGGTGTGGTTGAAGGACAGCGATGAGAAGGAGCCGAGGAGCAGCAGAAAGGTTGTAGAAAGAATCAGGAGCCCAGAGTAGGGGACAAAAAAAAGGAGGGGGGGCAGCAGAAAGTGGAGACTAAAGCACACGACAGAACATGCTTTGAGAGCAGGAGTTTAAGTGAATGGAGATCATTTTTAAAGAAAAGTACATTTTCCGTCCCTCTCAGGTTTCGAACCTGGAACATATTGAATAAAAGGCGAACACTGTACCCCTAAGACCACGAGAGTCCCCTGTTATCCTTCTTAACTAGCCTGTCCATCTTAACGAACTTAAAGAATCCCCTCCCCCTAAACATAGCTGTCATTGGAAAGACTCTTAAAATACCCAGGTGTTTAACCTATCTGGGAAGTGCTGTGATAGACGCAAACTCATGAGATGCTGAAATTGACAGAAAAATCCGAGCAGACGCAAAACTATAGAGCTCACAAGAGATTGGTTGAGGCATAACATCGGACTGGTCACAAAGTCCAAAGTTCCCAACGCTTTTATACAGCACTGAATACATGGCTTTGTATCACAGTAACCTGAAAAAGCTCACAGAAATCCAACTCCGTCGCCCATGACAGCTGCTTGAAATCAGATGGGAGAAGGTAGCCAATCTGGAGGGCCGGAAAAGAGCCAAAACTGAAAGAGTTGAGACCATGATAACTGCTTCACGGCTGAGATGGATGCAAACATGCCAAATTCCCGTGTCCTAACAGGAATTCTCTGTGGGGAGCTCTGTGAAGATGGAGATGATCTATTCTACGGGGGTGTTCCCAAACGCCACACGAAGAACTGTCACATTGATGACACAACCTGGGAAAAAGATGTCATGGATCCTTTAAAATGGCATGTACCACAGCTCGACGGTTCAGGGGCTGCAGTGGAACCAAAATAAAAAAAGCAAGGTACCTAAATTCTCACAGCATCAGCCATTGCAGACCATCACAATCAGACTTACGTTGTCTAAAATATGGCAAATATAGTAAATCACAAGCATGCCTTGTGGCTTATTAGCTTTCTTGTCCTGTTTAAATCACCATCACTGACATCATCCATATCGATGGACAGCCGAAGAAATGTACCCATGTTATGATCATCGCTTGTCACTCTCAATGTAATATTATTCAGTTGTGTTTTCTGATGTTGCCTCAAAGTAGATATCTTTGAAGAGTTCTGCGGATAGTTAAGCCACAAAGTCTATTGTGCTTACATCATCCTTGTGAGATCTCACCTCGTGGGTTCTATGTATTATAAAAATGTATTTTACAATGCCATTCATTTTATTTGAGTATATTATGACTAGCTCAAGACTGGAGGGACCGTTTGACTGTAATTGTGTACGGGAAACGTCCGTTTTGAACGCCACAATAAACCTACTAGTCTAGGTGGATGCTATGGTGTGTCTTTGTTCTAGAACAAACATGTTTCTCTCTAGTTAAAAACCAAGAATGTTGTGTGCACTAAAACAACTACTAAATGTGTTGTTTGTGGTACGAGTTTGCTGATTTATCGTGTCCTTTGAATGGAAGGTGTAATATGTGAGGCGTTTGAGCGGTTGTAAAATTCTAAAACAAATTGCTCAATGGGACGAAATCAAATGGTTAATTCTTGCTTGCATTTTCTCCTTTTTTTTGCATAGAGTGACACGACGTGGTGAAAGAAGGCGCTCGTCTTTTTTGGTATAAAGACTTTTTGATTTAAAGCCTGTTTTTATTGCCTTGCTTTTGATGACAAAATTTTCCATCTCTGTTGAACAAAAGTCGATAATATTGTTTGATCTAAGTATTGTTGGTAAAAATAATATTATATACTACATCATTGCTTTTCTTATTCGATGATGGTCCATCTTTGTGTCTCTGTTTGTTGTTGGATGTGACATTTTATGTGTCATATTACATTTCCTGTTCAATTGCAACATAACGTGGATTATGCCATGTACGTTACATTGTATAGTATATTATTTAGAGTACCGTTTGTAATGTACCATGGAGTGTGTTCTATCCTGTGAAAGTTAAACGTAGTTGGCTAACGTCATGCAGTGCCTCATATGATATTTATCATGAGGTGTACTTTAATCCATGTTATCATTATATTATGAACTGTTTCTTGCAGTGTGCTAAATAGCGTTAGTATTCTTCTGCACAATTATACTGTGATCCAAATGTCCCTATTGCGGTGTTTGTGGTACTGAATCAAAGTTAGATTTTCATGTCTAGTGACTGTAATTCATCGTCACTTAATGTTACCGCTTCAAACATGCGATCATGACATATATGATATATATATATATATATATATATATATATATATATATATATATGTATATATATATATATGATTTTGTGTGTGTGTGTGTGTGTGTGTGTGTGAGTGTGTGTGTGTGTGTGTGTGTGTGTGTGTGTGTGTGTGTGTGTGTGCGCGCGCGTGCGTGCATGTGTGTATGTGTGTGTGTATGTGTGTGTGTGTGTGTGTGTGTGTGTGTGTGTGTGTTTGCAGATGAATCTGTCCAAGACGACTCTCCTTTGTCGAGGAGAAGAGCGGTCAGTTTAGACAAATGTTTCTCTTGGACAGTGTACAATATAGGAAAAAAATACACTAGAAAAGGGGAAGGGGGAGATGTTCTTTGTGAACGTGATTGTCTTGGATAGGTGGTCGTTAGAGCAGGTTGAACTGTATAATATTAAATATATATTTTGTAATTACGTGTACATACTATCCATGTATAGGGCTATTCCGTTATCTTGCCAGTGTGCTATAATCAAAACATTGCATTTAAAAATTGTTCGTAAATTACTGTCGTGTGTGAGTACATGTGTGCTTTTATTTTCGCCTAAAATCGTGGGGAGTCCGTGCAATCTGTCCCACCCTATCTATCCCCCTCTCTCCCTCTCTCTCTCTCTCTCTCTCTCTCTCTCTCTCTCTGTGTCTGTGTGTTAGGGAGTGAGAGAGATACACGACAGTAGAAAGACCGAGACAGTCGATACAAAATAAATTATCTCCACTCACGAATCGAACTCGGGTCTCATGCGGCAGTGAAGCGCCTAACCAGTGCACTACAGACGCCCGGAGAGAGAGAGAGAGAGAGAGAGAGAGAGAGAGAGAGAGAGAGAGAGAGAGAGAAAGAGAGAGAGAGAGAGCTCTTACAAACATCTAATTTCACATTTACGTTGACGTAGTCCATAAAAATATTTACTGCTTTATTAGCCAGATCGTCTCCGTTTAGAAAATGAATTTGGGATGCGATTTGTTGTGGCGTAAGCCGTCCACTTTTTATTCAGTTGTTATTTTGCCAGTTTTACAGTTCTTCTTGCAGGTGAAATGACTGCGGTATGTGTATTGAGGAAACTAAACTATATTCGGAGGAAGCTGGGGGCTTATAAATGGGTCACAACCAAGGATGTTACAAAGAGAATTCTGATGTTCTTGGTCTCAGCCATAGGTGAGGTGTGCTGACAAATACATGAGTTACTTCTCGGATTTTAGCCTTATGGAAAGTGATACATCAACTTTACAGATGCAGTTTGTACAACTTGTAAATGTGGAATAATGAAAGACATGGTAGACTTGAACAAAATGGCATCAATTGAAAATCTATAAATCCGATCCCAGTGTCAATTTTCGGCCAATATGTCCATTTTTGGATTGCGAAAAGTAACTCATTTTTTCAGTAAACTTTAGCTTGCTATGGTCTGAATCCTATCAGCAAGGCCCTATGGTGTAGTTTATCACCCAGCACCGAAGGATGATATGAGGAAGTCATACAGGAGTCTGTTAATTGTATAATGATACTTCAAATTTGACTTTCTAGTAACTTTCAAAGCAGTGGTAAATCATAAAGAACATTACAATTTATATGTAGGTGTTTTTACGCCCCCATTGACACAATGCAGATAGTTTAAGAGGTGGACTTCCACCCTGCCTGTCAGGGCCAACCCGGGGTGAGAGGGATAGTATAACGTACCTAATGAAGATCGAGATGCTTGATAACAATTCTCCCCACGCAGGAATCGAGGTCGTGGCTTATGCGTGCGACGGCGAAGTACCTAACCGCTACACCACAGACTTCAGTCCAGGTCATTTTGGAAACAGGATTGAAAACACTGGTATAAACGCACACTCATCAATATTAAAGTTCACTGGCGGATTTGAACCCAACCACTTCAGTAGATTGTTATAGTCCTCCCCCCCCTAAAAAAAGCCATTGTACGAAAGGCAATGGTAGGCCTTTTTCTAACCCCTGGCTGTAAAAGACTTGGATCGATTCTAACAAGCCATATTTTTTTAAGTTTCTCAGTTTTACTTCTAGTGTGTGCCCAATATGACTTGACTTGCGTGATAAACGGGCAGGACGGATAGCACCAGTCAGGCTCATATCTATGAGACATAATTTGTTCCGAAGGTGGAGTAAACTTATGCATCACTTTACAGAATTTACGGCACGTTTCACCGCAAAATGTGAAAATGTATCTAAGCATAAAAAATTATATTATCAAGGAGCAGTTATTGAATAATCGCTTGTGATAATTCTTATGTATCTTATTTGTACACATCCATTCATTTACCACTATTTTTGTCATCTAAATTTGTCATTTGAAACGGATCAGATCGGAACAGAAACTGTGGCTGATCGAAACATGGGACACCAACATTTGTATTACATTGTATATCGCTCGGCGTGATATGGATTTAATATCATAAGGGATTTAAGGGACCCCCCCCCCAAAAAAAAAAAAGTCACATGGGACGATCTGGTATAGTTTTTGTGATGCGTTCCAAGTTGTCTTTTCGAATGTCACCATTGTGATTTGTTGTCTGTTTATTATTATCATTATTATTATTATTATTATTATTATTATTATTATTATTATTATTATTATTATTATTATTATTATTATTATTTATTATTATTATTATTATTATTACTATTATTATTATTATTATTATTATTATTATTATTATTATTATTATTATCATTATTATTATTATTACTATTATTATTATTATTATTATTATTATTATTATTATTACTATTATTATTTCATTTCATTTTTTCTTTAAAAAATTTTCGCTGCTGTACATACTATGTCTGTTGTTTTGTGAAGTACAAAGTAAATATTTTTTTTGCCACTTTTCGTTTGTGAGTCTGACAGACTTTATGTTAAGTTAGACATCGTCTTTGGATGCTTGGGGCTGGGATGGGACTGAACATTCACCAGAAACCAGTATCGATGGTGAATGGTACTCTGCTTTACATCAAGTCCATTGCAAACACACACACACACACACACACACACACACACACACACACACACACACACACACACACATATACACTCATACTAACATACACGCACACACTCATGTAGGAAGCAGACATGGACAAATGAGATGCTGAATTTTTTAAATAGAAAAAAAACAGCACATTAATGCATGCACCAGCTAAAGTAAAAATCAAGTGGTTGGGGGAAAGGGGGTGGGGCGCCACTGGCAATTCATATTGCGTTTAAGACCCTCATTTCCTCCTACTTGTCCATTTTGCTTTTCCCAGTACGAAATGGCTTTCATTGTGTCGGTGAGCTTCTTTTTTGTCAGACTAAATTAATGTGAGGCACAGGCAAACATAGACAAACGAGATCTGAAGTAATTTGTGTAGGAAAGAAAAGCAAATACGAAGTAATCTGCCCCGCCGATGTTGGGACGGCCTCTAAGACAACACAACGAGACAAAACAAACAAAAGTTCTTATTTTCAGTAAGTACAAAATTGATTTAATGTGCAAAAGACGAATTCCAATAATGCTAAAAGTGACAGATCAAAAAATGAATGTGAAATCTCAATAATCTGATTCGTGATGAAAACAAATTATCACTCAAGTACGCGCATTCTCTCTCATCGTAGCATTTGTGGTCACTTCCTTCTTCCATTCATCTAGCTTGACAGTCGAAGAATACGAAGATAGAATACTTAGCGAAATCAGAAATCAGCATAGCAAGAAAATACATTCGGGGAGCACAGCATGGCTAGCATTGCAACAATCAGATACCATGACATCTGGTACCTGCTAACATAAAGCACTTCTTCAAGTTAAACACAGTTTTTCAATAATTTCTATAATTATTTTGTGGAATCTCTCTAAAGTACAGAACAAGTTGGCTACAATTGTTGTATCTTTCAAATCCTTTCTGAATTGTATAGAGCTTTATTAATATTTGATATACGATACCATTCCTTAAATATCACATCGAGCCTTGACTGAAAAGAAAGAATTGTAATAAAATGATCTCGAGAAGCTCCTGCATGTCGTTCTTTTTGCCCGTAAAAAAATCTTTTGATAGTTGTATGACATTTGCACCTAAAAAAGAAAAAAGATGAACTTATATAAAGTATGTGAACAATATATATATAAGCGCATGCAAACAAGTATTCCTTACTGATATCAACCACTTACTCTGACAACGAAGTGGTAGCATTAACGCACACGTTCATCTCAGTGTATACTCATCGATATATGTTATAAAAATATGTACATAGAAGAATGAAATATTTTTATGCACTTTGTGGAATAGTTCGACCTTATAAACAGCAGTAAGAAAAGACAGGTGAGTCAATCTCAGATGAAACATTTGAGTCACGACACGGTGGAATCAGGCGCCCGTCAGTTTTCGGGCAAATGAAAGTATTCATATATTTTCAATGCCTGTTTATTTGCCTTGCTTTTGATGAACAAAATACCTTTGCCACTTGAACAGAGGTCAAGATAATTGCTATTGAAGAGGTTGGGGCCGCCTGGTCTCTGAGGTAAAATTGGCGAGGATATATCTGCTTAAGTTTGCTGACGTCCAAAACTTGAGTATCCTTGGAAACTGCAAATTTATAGGTTTTTTGTGCCTTTGGTAATAAAATCCACACAGAAATATGCTTTTTAATGGACATTAAAAATCAATAATTTTTGTCAAACAGGCGGAAAAAATAATCTTCTTGGATTGCATTATTTTGACGAGGCGCCTGATTTCACAGTGCCGTGACACGACATTTAAAGTGATGCTTTACAGGCGAATCGGGAACGTTTGGATACTTACTATTGACCAACCAACCAGGCATTCTGAACCAATAGTTAGACCTACAAAGTGTGATGGGCATTCGGACGTAGTGAACACTGGAATGTGGGTTCATGACAGCAACAGTAAACAGGTAACAGTCTTGTACATTCAACAATATATTCTCAGATTTGCAGACGTAAAGCAGAAGACTGAAGTACAAGCAGAAGATTGAAGTGCAAACTAAGTACCCTATTTTTCCGCCTGTAAGTAATCATTTCAGCTAGAGCCATGAAAATATTCTTAAGCAAACCAAAAGCAGCAAACTAATCCATTTGGAAATTTGAACCACCACAACTTTCACCATGGCCCCGTATGGAATCAATTAACCAGCGTTTAGTTACACCAGCCAAACTGTATCTGATGAATAAGTGAACAAGGCAGCAAAAAAGTATATTCTATTACAGAAAAATAAGCAACCCCCAAAAAACAACAACAATAACAACAACAACAACAACAACAACAACAACAACAAACAAACAAACTAAAAAAATAAAAAAATAAACACCCAACAACAAAAAAAACAAAGTAAGTTCCATACTGCCTTCTTGTGGAAAAAGGGAAATCACCGTTTTTACTGAAAGTGAAATTTGGACATTCGGCGTATTTTCTCCCACAAGAAGGCAGTCTAAGCGTATACAATTTTGGAGTAAATGTAAAAATAAAAGCTATGGAATGTGAACACGACCCATCTGCGCACTGGTTTATCCGCCTTTGCGCTACATCAAGTCAGGGTCATTGAAGATAGGGTTGTCGTACTTGGCTGTGTCGGAACCCTTGAAGGAATCGTCATCTTCGTCTTGGGCTTGTAGCCGGGCGAACGACAGGCTGCTTTGTGAGCCCTGGCGAGTTAAAAAACATTGAGTGAGATCTTTTAGCACATTAATTGATGAATAAGTAACATTTTTATTGATCCCTATGTACATAAATACATACATAAATACTAAAACATAAATAAATACATAATATTGCACCAATACAAAACAAATTCACAAACATGCCTTAGTTCGTTGCAGTTGTGCAGCGCCCTGTTTTCTTTTTCGTGTGAAGGGAAAAGGTAATTGGTCTATTTAGGATCGCTTGGCTCGTGGGAGAGAATGAGGGAGAGAGGTAGGGAGAGAGTCACAGAGAGAGAGAGAGAGAGAGAGAAAGAGAGAAAGAAAGAAAGAGAGAGAGAGAGAGAGAGAGAGAGAGAGAGAGAGAGAGAGAGAGAGAGAGTGAAACCAGGACTAAGAGGGATACAACATTTCAGCAGAAAGACCGAATTACTCAATGAAAATTCTCCCTACACGAAATTCGAACCCGAGTCTCCTCCATCTATCTATCTGACTATAAGAGGATTACGGATACACGACACGAGGTAGAAGAGATACAAAGAGGTTGCCATATAGAGGTGAAAAAGAAACAACATAATTTATAAGGTGCAGCCCCGGTCTCACGTCCTCCTTTTCCGGCTGTTGGGAAGGAGTCTAGTAAGGTTTTGGTTATCAGGCCTTCCGTTTCAAAGAGTATTTTACTATTTGTTCTCTGTCTTTATTTGGGCCCAAGTTACACAAATTATAATACCTATCTATACTACAACCAATAGCAACAACAACAACAACAACAACAACAACAACAACAACAACAACAACAACAACAACAACAACAACAACGATGACATCACAACAATGACAAGAACAACGACAACAATACCACCAATGACAATAATATTAACAACAACAACAACAGCAACAACAACAACAACAACAACAACAACAACAACAACAATAATAATAATAAAAGTAACAAAAACAAAAACAATAACAACAACAACATCATGATGATCATCATTATCACTACACAACAACAACAATAAGAACAACGACATCAATAACAACAGCAATAACAGCAATAATTTTTTCCTATACCAAACTCTGTTCTACAAAAGACTTGTGGTACTTTTCTAACTCACCGAATGCGACCTCTTGAAAATGTTGAGGAATCCTTGGAGTTTGGATTTTCTGTAGAGGATGACAACGGCGATGACGATGACAAGCATCAGCACCAGGATAGCTGGCACCACAACAGCCACAACAATGCCAGTCTGTGGACATATGGACGGGTTTGATGAAGGTATTTTTTGACGTCACCAAAAAGGGAGAGAGAGAGAGAGAGAGAGAGAGAGAGAGAGAGAGAGAGAGAGAGAGAGAGAGAGAGAGAGAGAGAGAGAGAGAGAGAGAGAGAGAGAGAGAGAGAGAGAGAGAGAGAGAGAGTGAAGGGGAAAGGCGTGAGGGTGTGAGAGTGTTTTTTGTCGTTGATTTTTTTTTTTTTTTTTTTTTGGTTAGCATTTTACCGCGCTCGCAACAGCATAAGGTCATATGAGTGTGTGAGGTAAAAAAAAAAGGATTAATAGGAGTGATAGACTTCAGAGTTTATTAAAGCTGAGGAGGTGGAGGTGGTAAGCTCTTACAAGTATCTTGGAATACCATTTGATAACAAACTTGACTGGAATCCCCGCACTGCTCTTGTGCATAAAAGAGTAATTCAAAGAACGTTCCTTTTGAGGACATTAAGAAGTTTTCCTTTCGATAATAGATTATGTCTCTTTTATACCACTCTATGATTGAAAGCGTCGTATTATTTTATATTTGCAGCTGGGTTGGGAATTGTAGGGTGACAGATAGAACTACATTGTCCGTCTTTTCCTCTTTCCCTTTTCAATTTCTAGCATAACAATAAACTCACTAAAAAAGAAAAAAAAAAGACAAGAAACGAGAACAAACAAAAAACCCCTTAAAACCACAAAAAACACTTACCCCCCCCCCCCCCCACAAGATAAAATAAACAACAGAAAACAACAAAATTGTAAACAAAAATAAACAGACCCCCCCCCCTCCTTTAAAAAACATTACAATTAAAACATAGCGTCAATTTCTCTCTTTACACAAAGACATTCCTGTAGCCACCGCAGCAGCAGCAGCAACAACAAACCTAAACAGAATAAGAATATTATTAGCAAATTTTAATGTAACATCAGCAGCTGCAACAACAACAACAACAATAACAACAACAACAACAACAACAACAACAACAACAACAACAACAACAACAACAACGACAACAACAATGCTAAACCACTTACTGTAGATGATCTACCCGCTCTGGTTAATCCAATGTTCTCTCTAGTCTGAAACAAAAAGTATAACGATTACTCCGCTGAACGTAAGGAATAAACAAAAGCTTAGAGCAAATGCCAGATAAGGCATATCATTGGCGAAATATTCTTTGTTTAAAATAAAAATTCCAGAACTCGGTATTAGAATTTCTTTTTTGAAGAAGCAAAAAGGACTGTGCAGTAGACATACATAAGTTTGGACGATAAACTAAACTTTATATATTATTATTTTTACTTCCGTTTTTCTCATTCCACGTTCTCTCTGAATATTATGAAAAACGACATTTATGTTGCATGCATCCACCCCCCACCCCCCCCCCCCCCCGCAACCACACAAAAAAAAAGTAAAACCAAATTACGGACACACACAC